CACACTCCTCTCCATGAGTTTTGCGCTCCAAGGCTAAAAGTGGCATAGAAGGAGCTGTGAGGAGAGAGAGACGGTGAGAGCCAACATTTGTTGCAAAACAACCTTCTTATTAGCATACGGAGTCACCTTCGAACCTGTGGTTTACGACTTTTTAATCAGGCAAAATTTATGCATAAACTTTGCATATCGTCTCGCTTTGTGTCCGACTGAAGACTAATGACAACACTGGCTCTATCTCCTGGACTGAGGTGCTGCAAAACTGGATGTCCCACTGCCTCCAACCAATCTTCTTTAGTTGGCACAATTTACGGGCAACCAGTCAACATCAACAAACAATATTTCGGTGGTGTGTAATAATGGTGGTTGTGTGAATTTTGTCGAGTGTATGCAAATGCCACAGAAATCTGATTATTATTCAGAAAGGGGCATGATGACAACGGCGGTGAAGTGCCACTGCGTGTGCACGCGTGCGTGCGTGCGTGAGTGCGTGTGTGCGTGCGTGCGTGCATTGGTGAGCGAGTAAAGGTGGTCCTCATGACAACTAGGCACAAAGCTTTGATAATTTCGTTGACATGCCTCACCATATCGTAAAAAAAGTCATTAAAAAGAAAAATATTTCGTTGGTTTGGCCTTTCCCGCCTTCTTAATTTGACCTGCTTAAATCTGTCTGGACGGTCAGCGGCAACTTAAGCGCGATCCGAGTTTGAGTGATTGCATTTTTAAATTTTATTTTAAACAGGTAAAAGTACTCCTTCTTTTCTATAGTGTTGTGATTTGTTGATCAAATATAATACGGAGGGCGCGTTCTCGGAAGAAAACAATGACACCCTCATCCTCATTATGACCTCACCTCTGAATTATTTGCTAAGAGCGGGAGGCACGTGTCAGTGATCTGGAAGATGGAGGGGGATAGGGGGATACATGCGGTGGGCTACTCACTATCTTCATGATTTATGCCTTCAGATATGAGTCTGACCCGTGGACCGCCACACATGCTAACCACTAATCTAAACTATTAATCAGTTAAAAGCGACTTCCACCCGCAATTTCTGAACGCCTTAGCAGAATATTCTCAATGGAGTTAAATGATACCTCCTGTACGGATATAAAGTGCATCGTGAAGGAAATGGATTTGCCTGTCAAAGA